TATGTATAGTCATAAATTTGTTGACGAATGAACATTTCCTGTAACACAATTAATTTTGAAGACTTAATGACACTTTCTGGGATGTGCGGGGCCAGGTAAAGACGTCTTCGGCGCACGCAACCTCACGCTGTCTTTCCCGCCGTCAGAGGAAGGTAGGAGAGCGCTCCGATAACGTCCTTCAACAGCTCCGCCTGTTCAATAATCCTGAACGGTGCGCCTATTTCATGAAAGAGTGGCTCAGAACTGACCTTTCCCTGTCTTCACAAGGATGATTTACCCTACATGGGGTCATGGAAAGTTTCTGCTAAACACGCATCCAGGGCGCAACAGCAGGTGTTTTAGACAACGGTGTTGTACCCTGGATGCTCCCAAGGCGTCATTTTTCTCCACTATTTTTTGCCCTTATTTTCAGAAACCTACTAGAGATTAGAAACAAATAGCTATAGAAAAACGACAGACCTTGTCTTCCGGTTCGGGATGGAGTGTAGCAAGATTGTTCTCATAAAAATGATCGGAAATCTGAAATGGGAATCACTCGAATTCACGGTAGAACCTGTCTTGAACACCTTTCGCTTAGGCCATCTAACGACTACGGTACTTTGGAGTAGCTAGGCTCGGTTCGAGCGCCCGCGAAGGAACTGGATTGTGTTGCGATTGGCTTTCAAGCAATCGCGGGCTGCGTAGGCTGGGTCTAGCCGGCCTTTCTATGGTCATGTACCCATCCACTAGTGGCCTCCAAGTACCCGTCCTCTCCATGATAGCGCAGCGCTCGAGAGACCTCCGTCTTTGATTCATGAGCGACTCATTCTTCGTTTTTTTCGATGTTGAGTCAACTAGCACCTGCACGTGTCCTCTTGTTACATTGAAGTGAATAAACAACGATTACGATATAAGGAGGAAGGTGAGGAGCGCAAGACTGTTCCGCTTGAGTGACTGAACTCGTCTGTCCTGTTGCCCAAAATAAAGGGATTGACATGAATACTTTGTCTTAGGTCCTCCCGTATCTCTTCATCTCACGTCTAGCCGTCACTTGGTTGCTTGCTCATCAAACCGCTCAAAATTTTTTCTCCATGACCTTTAATGACACAAAAAATATGAGCAAAAAGTGGGCTATATTTACGGAGCCCTTTCTCCTGTTTTTTTTTCTAGCCGACTTTTCAGTATTGCACCTTTAGGTTGAATCAAGTACTCACAGCGTGCCAGTGGAATGTACCACTGATACAAAAAAGCTTTGAACTCACATCGAGCGCGATCTGGACAGACAGCTCGCGAATATCCTGAAGCCCTGGGTAGAGCAGAGAATGGTTGTTCAGCGATTCTTCGGTCACCGTTGCAGCTACTCGCTTAACAGTTACCAGTTAGCACATAATAAACATTTTAGTTTATTAATGTTTCGTAAAATTTTCGGGTTGCACACTTCAGTGAACGGCATAACTAAAATCCTAGAATGAAGTAACATTGAACTTATGCGACAATGAAAAACTCAATCCAACCTCGAGAGGCACAGCAATACTAACGAGTTAACTAAGGAGCAACCATGCCGAGGTTCCAGCAAAAGAGAAACAGGAGGAAACAGGAGAATATTCAATTCAATGCTTTTTTTGATTTTTCTGTATCCATCGCCGAAAAGTTGATTCGTTCGCTTAATGCCTTTTCCGACAATGGAGTACGTTTTGAGGGGATCTCAATTAGGACGATCTGGTGACTTTGAATGTATCACGTCATTTCGAATCACTGTCCAACGGGTCATTTTTTGTATAATCCGTGGGCTGGCGCACAACCATCTTTGTCACCAGAATCCATATAATTTCCCCGTACGAGAGTTATTCGGCAGCAGAATGACGAATATAGCGAGCGCAGTTCGGCGACGAGGGAGGGGGAGGGACAAATTGCACTTTCGATGCTTCCGCTTTACATCTCTCTGGTGAAACGTGTGAACTTTTGTGAAGCTGAATGGTAAAACCTGTTAGCTCTTGTGAGCTTATAAGAGCGCTCTCTAGATAGGTCGACATGTTGATGGGAAGTAGCGAAGTGCAAAATGCCCTCCTTCCTTCTCCACACCCCCGTCGCCGAACTGCCCCGTATATCCGTACATATTTGCCTTGACCCCATAATAATGCCTTGGCTTGGCACTACAATTTCTCCTATCCCGTTGCTACTAACTTACATTTGGGGTTAAATGGCAGTCCTCGCCATTAACATGCCCACCACTTTCCATCCAGTACCAGCTAAGCTGACCCTAGGCTTAGAAGTCGTCCCCTTACCCAGGCTTAGACTTCGCAGACAGACTGCTGGAGCGCCGTACGCTAGAGCCGAAGCTGGTGATAAATCCCATGTTTATTATGAGGACGTCAAGTAACCCTGGTGCTCAACTTTATGTCCGCTTCAGTGAAAAATGGTGGCACTTTATAGCATCGGCGTCAAAAATGGGTGTCGTATTCATGAGCAGGGCTGAATTCAGTAGGTAACCTTTTAGGAAAATAACCTAACCATAAGAATTTGAGAAGCAGTTTACTGCTGCCAAGTTTGCAGTGAGCCTACAGTCTTGTTCGCTGCGGATGCTCGGCCATGTTGAGGAGCAACAGGTCTGCCTGCGCGAGCTCGTTCTTAACCAGTTGCTAAAGGCACGGTCCGCGATCAGGTATAGAAGTTGGAAATATGGCGTCGGGAGGTAGTGTGGTCCGCGACGAACAACTTTGTACCGGTTTCGCGGCAAAAAATTGTAAGGGAGGGGCGCTATAGCGCAATATAGGTTCAGTGACGCCTCCTTTTCCAGTGACTCCGCCTCCAGACTCCGCCTTCAAGGCCCGCCTTTCAGTGAAAAAAAACGAAGCTGCAGGACGAAAAAGCATGAAAATCGTCACTTGTACGGTCGTAGAGTTCTTATCGGGAATCAGCTGTGCGGATGAGGGTGTAGTGTTGAAGATGGAGTTAAATGGGCACGTACAAACTGGGATTGAAATGGGATTCTATCTAGGGCAGTTGACATGTTTTTTTCTACTGTTATTTTCACTATTGTGCTACTCGGAGCATTGTCGTTTGTATGCAAACCCCTAATCTGTGATGACGAATGATCACGAACTAAAGAGGGCAACAATTGGTGAAAAACGTGCTGTGAACCGCCTTGACACTCCCTAGCATCCGCAACAAGACTTATAGCCTTGAAGATGGTAATGAGTTGGTCGGATGACATTTGTTGATATGAAGGACTCAACGTTGGCGAGCATGGGCGGATAAATATCCCATCTGGTAGATTTAGCTGACAAGCACTGAAGACTATATAGTTGAA